TTATCTGAAGGGATATAATGGATATGAAACCTCACTTGAACCATTTAAGATAAATTGAGATTAAACAATTCCAATTGAGTTTCATCTTTAAATAGTGTCTTTCTAGTGTGATGTAAATAACTATGCAAAGCTTTTTTATTTATATTTTTAGATAATCAATTCTGACAATGTTATCTAATTAATAAAATGTTCATAACTCAAACTAAATTTTTTAATTATATTTACTATAATTAATATATTTATTTCTCGTTATCTCAATATTATGGTAAAAATAAAATACCAAAAAAGACATAATAACTAGCAACTTTTTCAAAGAGTAACCAATCAATTTATTTTTTATTTTTTCTATTGGTCAAGACTATTAAATTAACATCGTTAAAAAGAAGAGGTATGATAAATATTGTTATTCTTTTTTAATTAAAACAGGAAAAACCAAAAGTCCTAATCAAATTCTTTTTTATTTTTTCTCATTTTGTTTGTTTTTCCATTCTTTATACTTTGGTAATTTTTCACGTAAACCCTTTAACATAGTTGGAACAGTAGATTTAGCCATATTATTAACTATCCACTTTGGAACAACTCCTCCTATATCACTATTCCCAATACAGTAAAGAACTGTTTGGTTGTTTTCTTTTCTAATCAAATACCCACTTAACCCAATTGATCCTCTAACATACCCTTCAGACACTGGATACTTATCTGAGTCAGTACTTTCAAATCTAATGAAATACTCTTCACACCCATCTCTCTCATTACAACATGTTTCACAATCAAATACAAATTCTCTGTTTGTAATCACTGGAACTTTAAATAACATTCTAATAACATTGGTTTGTTCATTCTTCTTATCAATTACAGTCCAACTAATTAAATAAGGATCCCATTCTTTGTGAAATTCAGGGTCACATATCGATTCATAAACCTCTTTTGGTTCAAACGCCTTAAAATCATTTGAAATAACTTTTAATGATACTACACTGTTGTTTTTGGTAGCTCTCATATACTCAGTTTGAATCTCATCTTTTAGGCATTCTTGCCATTCATCATTATTTAAGCAATACTCCCTAAATTCAGTAATTGTTGAACTTAACATTATTTATATTTTTTAGATTTTAGAAGGTTTAATATTATTAAAGAAACTAAACTTAACTCTCATACATAAATTAAGTGAAGTAAATAAAAAAATAGGGATTTGACAAAGTTTTCTCTATTATGAAATTAGTTTATTAAATTAAACGATTATTTATTGTTGAGCAGCTGCTGCGGCTGCAGCTTCTTCTTCAAGTCTTCTTTGTTCTTCTAAAACAGCAGCACCTGAATATGAGTCTGGAACTGGTTCATTTCCTGAACATGGAGCTGTTAATCCAATATCTGTTGTTGCTTCCCAAGTTCCTTTAGATGCCATAGGTCCAGCCGCATCAGAACTAACTCCTCTATAACCTGCTTCATAGGCATCTGGTCCAACAGGGGCTGTTAATCCAATATCTGTTGTTGCTTCCCAAGTTCCTTTAGATGCCATAGGTCCAGCTGCATTTGATCCAGCACCTCTATAACCTGCTTCATAGGCATCTGGTCCAACAGGAGCTGTTAATCCAATGTCTGTTGTTGCTTCCCAAGTTCCTTTAGATGCCATAGGTCCAGCTGCATTTGATCCAGCTCTGTAGCCTGACTCACTTGATTTAGCTGCAGCAGCAGTAACTCCAATATCTGTAGTAGCTGCCCAAGTTCCTTTAGATGCCATAGGCCCAGTTGCATCAGAACCTTGTCTTCTATAACCAGAACTTGTAGATGAAGAAGGTCCACAACCCATAAATCTACATGGATCAACAGTTGCTTTATAGTTTGAGGAAGAACTTCCTGGTCCTACCATACGTGCTCTCATTAGAATGTAATTTAAATAAAGTTAGAGATTTAGATTTCCTTTTATATTAATTCTTAACTGCTATAATTAAATATGATGTGGAGATTAATTGATACAAACGTGGCTTCTTTTTAGCAATTCTATTTTTATTAGTTTCTTTTTTATCCTTTTGTTTTACTATATCTTCATTATTTATTTCTTTACCTTTTTTCTTTATGATTTTCTTTAACAAACCTCATATATTCGTCGAAAAAAATGAATTAAAACATTTAACAATTTTTATTATTTATAACAAAAAATTTATTAGTTTAATTAAACAAAAATATGTTATATAAAACCTAATTCAATTTACTTTAGAATTTCTCAGAAACTGAGTTAATGATAGTCTTGAATTTAGCGGCATCTAATGAGGCTCCTCCAACTAAGAAACCATCAATGTCAGCTTTCTTAGCAAGTTCATTACAATTAGCTGGATTAACAGATCCACCATATTGGATTCTTGTAGCTTCAGCAACTTCTTTAGAAATATTTTCAGTCATCCATTTTCTAATGTATTGATGAACTTCTTGAGCTTGATCTGGAGTAGCAGTCTTTCCAGTTCCAATAGCCCAGACTGGTTCATAAGCAAGAATAATGTTTTTCCATGCTTCTTTTGAAATAGCATTGTTAATGGCTTTGAGTTGTGCTGCAACAACTTCTTCAGTTTGATTAGCAATTCTTTGTGCTTCAGTTTCACCAATACAAGCAATAACTTTTAATCCAGCATCAATAGCAACTTTAACTTTTTCAGCGACTTGTTCATTACTTTCATGGAAAATTTGTCTTCTTTCAGAATGTCCAAGAATGACATATGGGACTTGACAATCAACTAACATTCCTACATGAACTTCTCCAGTATAAGCTCCAGATTTAGTCCATGCATTTTCAGCAGAAACAAGAATATTAGCACCATTAGCTTCTCCTGCAAGAATTTGTTGGACTTTTGGAATATAGATAAATGGAACTCCAACAATAACTTCAACTTTCTTGGCAAGTTCAGCATCAACTGAGGCAGCAACTCCTTTAGTTAATGTTTCAATACTAGCAAGAGTACCATTACATTTCCAATTTCCACCAACGACAAACTTACGAGCTGACATTTTTATTTTATTTCTTTTCTTCTTTAAAGTTCTTTTTTATAATATTGCCACGATTCTACACGTATTATTTTTATTAATTTTTTTTAATGTAAAAAACCCTTCATCTTTTTTTTATTTCATAATTTTTCGTCAATCCTCAGGTTGCTGATTTCTTGATGTGATATAAAGTAATAGCAATAAAACGAATGGTGTATAAAAAAAATAAAATTACATGCCAAGCATTTGATCTCTGACTTGTGAAAAAGAGAGAGTATCAATACAAGAAGCAGTATCAGTTTGATAAACGATTTCTTTCAAAGAGTCAACATTTTCAGATAACTTTCTTGCTGCTTGCAATAACTCAGTGTAATTTTTCTTCTTTTTATTATCTTTTGTGATAATGACTTTGGCAAGAATTTTCTTTTTTTGTTCATCTTTTTGCAATAACGCACGTTCATTTAATCCATTAAGTAATTGGATAGCTGCTTTATCTTTATCTTCTTGTGTCTTAGCATTTTCAAGACTAATAATCGCTTGTTCAGCAATGTCTTTCTTTTCAACATTCACAACGACTCCAAAATCAAATTCTTTTTTAAGATACGTTTCTGCTTCGTCAAGACTTTCTTTAAATTCCTTAACTTTTTCAATAGGTTGTTTACCAAGCACAAACTCATAAAGATTTTCATATCCCATTTTAATATTTAAGGCACACATATTGACTTTTCCTTCTTCCTCTTTGTAAGTGCTACTTCTTGAAGTCATAAAATTATAGATTGCATTAACAATTACATCTCCAGTAGGACGAACACTATTGAGTTCAGAAGATATGATTTGTCTTCCAGAATTAGCCTTTAAATATTCAACCATTGTTTTAATATACAACCTTAATTTATCGATATAACTAATCGCACCTTTACAATTCCATAAATCTACATTTTTTAATATTTGAGATACATCCGATACAAAGTCAACTACACGAGAACAGTAGTCTCTTAATTGTTCTAAATTATTCATATTTTGATAAATCATAAAAATTACTTGTTTCTCTTTTTTAATTTTCTCTAAAATTTTTAAACTCTCTTTTTGGTCTTCAACTATTTGAATTAATTTAATTTCTTCTTGAGAAAATTCTGTAATTTTTTCAAGACGTTCTACCATTTGAGAGTCTTGAATAGTTTTAATTATTTGAGGAACATTTGGTTTATGATCTTCATTTAAAGAAGACATAGTATTAAGAATAAACTCTGATGTTGACTTCATTAGACCAGAAAAAACAGAGTTATTTTCGCCACTAATATGAACAATTCCTCTGAATTTTATACTGTATTTAGTAATCATTTAATTTTACTATTTTAAAGTTCTTTCGCAGGTGAATTTATAAGTATATCATAAACTAAAAATATCTAAAAAGAGGTTCCGAGAATTTTCTATTTCTTTAGTCTTCAATACACCAAATAATAAGAGAAAAAATAAAACTAGAATTCTACGAACTTGGATTTATTGAAATAAATTTACATAAAATATCAAAAACCATTTCAAAAAATCCTATTTTTACTGTTTTTACTTGTTATAAAAAAAAAGAATAAATTAGAACGGATTTTATTTCTTTATGTTTATTTTATTCTACTTTTTTTGAAAAATTTATTCCTTTTTTTAGATCTTGTTATTTCATTCTATTTATTGAAGCTAAATACATTTTAACTTTTGACAAGAAAAGGATTTACTCTGTTCTTTTGTTTATTCGTGTCTATTAAGTTAGTTTTAATTAGTTCTTTGTTTATTGGTAAGAACAAATTATTTCTTGTTTGATATAAACCATTCTTAGAAATGAATTACATAATAGGACTTTGTCATATTGTTTGCTTGGAAACTCGAAAAGGGGTTAGCACAATATTTAGTTTGTACTAGAATAAAACTTTAAGTTTTAACTCTTATTTACAAAAATATTATTTCATTAATTACATAACAAAATAGTATGATTATTATTTTTTACCATTAAACAATGTCATTTTTATTTCATTTAGTAATAACCTTATTTAATATGAATTAGTTTTTAGTATGATTAATTCATTTATTATTATTATAGCAGATGTGCATTAACAAAGTTTATGATTTAACTCTTATTATTCACTTATTTATCTTTTTAAATAACTACTAATTATTATTTTTTTCAATTTAAAATACAGTAATTACATTATTTAAAAAAAAATAGATATTTATTAAATAAGAAATTTTAAATAAATACATATACAGTATTTTTATTTTTCATCTTATTAAAAGTCTAATCTAATAACATTAGTTTGATTTATTTCATTTTTAAATACTTTCTTTTTCATAATTTGCTTATTACTGTTATACGTATTATCATTACTTCTTTGTGTAGTTAATTTTGTATATTCAGGATATTTTTATCAATTCTTTTTCAACTTTTGTTGTTGATTTTCATAACATTTGTGGTTTGAAAATTATTTGATTAGTTGTTTATTTTTTTTTATAATTCTGTGCAACCTAAATCATGAAATAACGCTCGTTCAATTCATTTTTATTAACCATTCTTAAATACTATAAATATAGTTTAGTATGTGATAAAATATAGATTTTTCATTTATGTATCATATTTTCACTCTTAACATTAAATTTAAAATACGTTAATATTATTTCATGTTTGATACTATTCTCATAGTTTTGTCTTTATTAATAATACTAAAACATACTGATAACCAAAGCTAAGTATTAAAAACATATTTTTAAAAATTTCATTCATTAGGTTTTTGTTAAGAAAAATATTAATTAGTCTGTTATAAACTCAGTCATTGAACTACATCAAACAGAAAAAGTGTTTTCATTAATTTGTTTATTTTTGTGATCTACCAAAAGGTTTTGTTATTAAGTTGAAACCAGCTCTTCAATACATAATATTTTTTTGTTATTAGTTTGATAAATAAAATAGAACAACCTATTTTCTTGAATGTGCTAAGAAAATATTATTCAAGTAAATGTTATAAAGTATAGAAAATGTATAAAATTCAAAGTTAATTTTACTTAATTATTTCTTGCTTTATAAAGACATTCTAAATAACAACAAAATATAATATTCAAAAGTATAAAATGTTTTCAATAGTATTATTTAGACTTAAGTACTTATAAAATTAATCAGACCACCAATAAAATTTAATAATTAGATTTATTTAGACATTGTTGAGATTAACAGTCTATCAGTGTTAGTAATTATGATAAAACATATATTCACAGTGTAATAAGTCTAGCAACAATATAACAAAAATGAAAAAACATTTATTAGTTTTTCTATTTTATAGAATTTTATTACTGTAATATCAGACATCTGTTCTAAGCTGTTAAAAAACTATTGTTAGTTTATTTATTTAACCTAATAGGAATATTTCTCTTATCATATATTTCTGAAAGAAATAACAGATATAAATAATAAATAAAACAAATTAATTTAATTTAAAATGTACTGAGTAAAATAGATAATCATAATTAACTTGTTTCTTTGAGTTAAATTTAAAAGTGTTACAAAAATTCTTTAATTGAATATTTTTGATGGCATTTATTTGAACTTGAAGTCAGAGTCAAAATAACAATTAAATAATTCCATTATAATAAAACTAAATGTTTATCTGATTCAATATTATGAAATAATAAAACATTACTAAAGTCTAATAGTTTATTCAATAATAAAGTTGTTGGAGCATAAGTTCTACAAAAGTACATTGGATATCAAATATATTTAATATGTTATTAAAAATTTAATTAATATTAAACTTACCAAAAAAATAGGGAATATCAGTAAAATGATATATGAATTTTTTTTATCATACAATAACTTTAATAAACCGTTAATATGTTAATAAGTTAACTATAATAAATACCCCCATTCTTTGTATAATAAATTATAACAACAATTCAGAACAATTATATTGTTCAATAAACTTTGAAGAATAATAATTTTAAGTAATCATACAAAAAAGGTCATTGAAACAGATAATATATCTCTTATTCCAGATGATTTAATCAAACTATTTAAATGGAGGAGATACGAAAAATAATTAATTGCTAACTAGAATTTTTCAGAATTTATCTATAATAAGATTTAATTATTTATTTTTAATATACTCAATTTCTCTTATAAACACATTTATGGTATTTGTATTAGAGTTCATGGTAATGATAAAAAATAATAAAAATGAAACAAACAACAAAGAACAACAAATTAAAAGCTCTATCTAATAACTATTACTTTTTATTTAATCATTATAAACACTAGCATATATTTTACTTTTGTAAAATTGTTTACTATATTATTTTAATAAAACATATAGATTTTGGTTATCCTTTATTATCTTCAAAATAAATTTATTACGAAATCACATTTCTTTAATGTTATTGTCATTCTTTTATTGACTCTTTCAATACAAAGAATTGATTTATGTAATTTTCTATTTATACTTTTAAACAATTGATTAACATTAGAGTAAAAAAAGTAGATGTTCATATAAGAAAATATAGAATATCATTATTATTAATTAAGTTAAAGTATTCATATATTCATTAACTTTCATTATTTAGTATTCTCAATGACTTTATTTAGAGAGAATAATGATTTATTTTGTGGTGTATTTATTGATATTGTATTTTATCAATTCATTTAATCAATTCTTAATCTTTTTTGTTATTAAAAACAAGATTAAAATTATTTTTATAAAATATAAAAAAAACAAGTTGAATCAAGAGTATCATATCTTATTAACATAACGATATAATATCAAGTAAAAATATTAAAAATTATATAAATAAGTGAATAAATAATAAATAAATACTGAACGAAATATTTCATTTATAAATAATAAAAATGAGATATGAAAAAATGTATCACTTTCATTATCATATATCAATTTCAATACCAAATAATCTAGTCTAACTAATAAAATAAAAATAAATGAAGTTAAAATTAAAATAAAACAGTTAATTAAGTATTAATAGAAATATTTTCTATTGTTCCTTGCTCAGGGGAGACTAATCCCATCCCTGAGCTTAAAAGTATTTGTTCTTCAACTTTTGCCTTATTCTTTGCTTCTAGTTGTTGAACTGTGAGAATTTTCTTTTCTCATTTTTGATGTGGAATAGAGTATTTAAACATCCCTTATTTAAATATTCATTATTAAATTTCTTTTTAATTTCGATGGGTTTAAATTTCTTCTTCTTTGGGTTTAAATTTCTTCTTCTTTGGGTTTAAATTTCTTCTTCTTTGGGTTTAAATTTCTTCTTCTTTATTTTCTTATTTTAAGGAGAATATATAATTACTACTGTATTACTTTAGGCTAATATTCTTTTAGCCTCAACCACTTGACCCTTTTCTTTTGATAATCTTATGTTATCAAATAATACTTGTATTCTAACAAGTAATAATAACATCTTTACAAATACCCATTCGTTTATTGTCAATGATATTCTGTCATTGTAAATAATAAACACTGCTATTCTTGCAGTACTGGGTGAGATGTTTTTCTAACCAAACGCAACGTCATAACCAGTCCATAACTGGGAGGGATCGAGGGATGGAAATATTTTAGGGATCTGTGTGGTGTCTCTGACGTGCTACCTTCGAATCCCCGAAGTTAAAATTAAATAAAATAAATTAGAAATAAAATGAAGATTAGGTAACAGACATATGAGTATAAAAAAAATTGAAATTTAAGAAAAAAGAAAGCAAAATATTTATTAAAATATAGAAATTATTACTTTCAATATAATGAAATTTAAAAAAAAAAATAAACCTCATAAATTTAAAATAGAAATGATGTTATTGATAATAAAAGGATCTTGAAATTTAATAATAAAAAATAAAAATAACTTTTTGTCATAAGAAGAAATTAGAATTGTTGTGAATTTCTTTTATAAACCTATAATTAGATTATTGAAAACTTTGATAAAAATAATAAAGAACTATAAAATGAGAACTTTGAAGTGATTACAATAAAAAGATGCCTATTGATAAAGAAGTATACAAAAAGATTCTTGGTGAAATCATCAACAATACAAGAAAGGCATGTATAGATTTGAGTTTAACAGTTGAGCCAGTAAGTATTTATAATAGTAAGATGGGAGGATATCCATATTTTCCTAAAGGAATGGAATATCCAAAAGATGAGAATGAAGACCCAATGATTTTATTTGTTCAATTAAACTTTGAAGAATTACCAGAATTAGAGAATTACCCAAAAGAAGGTATTCTTCAAATTTTTATTTGTGGAACGGATGATACTATGGGAGCAAATCCTGACGATGTAAAAGAACAAACAAATTATAAAATTATTTATCATCCAACAATAGAAAAAGATGAAAGTAAATTACAAAAACTTCCCAAAAAAATTAAGACAATGATTGATAAAGAATTTGATGAAGATGGAGATATCCAATTAATGTTTTCTGGAGTTTTTAAAATAAATGGAAAAATAAGTGAGAACGTTGGTTGTTTAAGAGACGTTACTCAATCAAAACTCATTGATAAATTGGCTACTAAATACGGCGTTGAAACTAGTGACATTGAAGATTCTTTAATTGAAGATCCATCATTCTCTAAAGATGGAATGAGAATCGGTGGAAATCCAAGTTATATTGATCTTGATCCACGCTCAGAAGAAACAAAAAAATATGATACATTGCTTCTTCAAATTGATAGTCAAATGTATTCTAAAGATGAACCACATCACAACAATACTGAAGATGAATATAAAACTTGTTTTGGTGATGGTGGAATTGTTCATTTTTTCATTGAAAAAGAAAAATTATTAAAGAAAGATTTTAGTGAAGTTTTATTCTGCTTTGATCAATGCTAATTAATACAATCTTTTTCTTATTCAATTCTTCATATTATCTCTTCTTATTTAAAATAATAAAATGTAATATTTTTTTGTTTTTAATTAATAAAAATAATTTGTCTTGTATTCTATTCAAATTGTACATCAAAAATATAAATGTTTTAGTATTATAAAAATTTTATTTATTTATCCAAATCATATATTACAATACATTTATAAATAATTATTTTTATCTCATCCCCCACCCTTCTCTTCTTTTCTTTAAATTTTCTTGTTATTGATTTCTTCTAATATCGTTAAGAACTTTATACGATCTTCTTTATTTCTATTCTATTACTAGATATTTCATTAAACTATATTCAAAGTGATCTTTTCACGATAACTCATTAAACTAATTCCTCATAACCACTACTTCTGTTAGACTCTTAGTTTTATTAAAAATTATCTAGTCGTAACAGTTAAAGTATGTTTTACTCTTCATAATTCTTCTAAATCATTGTTTCCTTAATCACTAACTTTATTAAAAATAGTATTAATGTGTGTTAAACAGAAACAACAGTCTAATACAATATAATTCATTTCTATATACTTCAGACCTTCGTTGTCTCAGTTTGCCAATTCAAATGAAAAGAAACAAAAAATGATTAATCAGAAAATTAATTTTCCAATTTATAATCTTACTACTAATAGTTCTTTTTTTTAGAAAAACAAATATAACATTTTATTTAATATGTTATTTTATATATATATCATATATTTATCACAAAAAACAATAAAAATATTAATGTGTTAAAACAATTAAAATTAGAGACGACGAGGAAGTTTTTCTATATCAAATTTATGATTACCCACAGTCATTAATGGTACACCTGGAATCTTTCTTAAACGACGTTTTAAATCCTTATCACAAGTACATACAATATATATTCTATGTGCTGTTACTCTTTGTACAATACAATCATCTCCATAATGACCTTTGTGATCACAAGTTAATCTCTTAAAACGAGGATCACGAGCAATCTTTAATGCCATTTGGAATTTCTTTCCAAGTAACTCTAATTCTGCCATAACACAATCAGTGATACAAGGAATAACTTTAGCTAATAAACATCTCATTGCACCTTCAAAAATATCAACTTTCTTACCTATAGAAAATTGAATAAAGTTAGTATCAAGAAGGAGGTGATAAGGAGGACCTAAATTAGGATTGTCAGCAAAATATTTATACGACTCATCAATAGGACTAACAACTACTTGTTTAGGTGTTTCTTTTACAACTCCTAATTCTTTTAATTGTTTTTCACGCTTAGTTGGTTGTGGTTTTAAACATGTTACACTTTTTGGTTTCAATAGTCGTGGACGACCTGCTGCTTTAGGCATTAATGAATTTCTTTTGTCATAGATTTTTCAAAATTAGGGTTAATTTGTGTTATTCAAAAATTGTGATTATCAAAAAAATATGATGTTTTTTATTACAAGAACTTTATAATAAACTTAAAAGAAATTTAGAAGGAAAAAAATGAATGATACAAATCAGACAAATTTAAAAGAGACTGAGGGAAGAGGAGAGATTGTTTCATATTTATTAAGAAGTTCTTAGAAAAAAAAATGAAAAGTGCTGGAAAAAAGAAAAAGAACAAAAAGGTACTACATTTCATTTAAAGCTTATAAACATGCAAAAAGAGAACCTCTCTATAATAGAGATGTGGAAAAAAAATCGTTTTGAAGAACGGAGGATTGAGGTTGTCCAATACAAAAATCGACCTTTTATTCAAATTGATAAACGCCCACGAATTGATTTAACTAAAGCCATTGTTAGTAGGACAATAGAAATGGAAATACCAATAGAAGAAAGTAAGAAATCACTATGTTTTGAAGTTGTTTATGATAAACAATTTGTCTTTTTTTGTAAAGATGATGACATGGTTAGATATTGGGTAAATAAAATGGCGTTAGTTTCAAAGACACTTGGAGTGTTTGGGTATCCACTATCATGTGCAGTTAAAAAATCTTCATGGCGTTTTCCTATTCCAGTATTTAGATCATTACAATATTTATTAACACATGAAGGAAAAGAGTTAGAAGGAATATTTAGAACTAACGCATCTCATGTGTCATTGTCAAGAATTAAAACAATATTAGACGGTGATCAAGATGTTGATATGGAGTCATTTGATGATTGTAGAGTTGCTGCAGCAATATTAAAAGATTATCTTCGACAATTACCAGAACCATTAATCCCATATGAATACTATAAACAATTTATTGAATTACCATTAAAAACTACTGACCCAAAACTGTTTATGGAAAGTCTTCCTAAAATGAATCAAGATACTTTGTGGTATTTATGTAGTTTTTTATATGAAATTCAATTAAATGAAGAAAAAACAAGAATGAATGCATCAAATTTAGCCACATGTATTGGGTTAACTGTTTGTAGACCACCACCATTTGAAGGTGTTGATGAATTAATTCATACAAAAAATGCTATATCAGCTTTTGAATTTGTATTAAATAATTACGAACCAATATTTTTTTCTATTAAACAACGTAATGAAAAAGAAGGATTAATACCACCTGAATATCCATGTGTTATTCCACATCAAAAAATACCATTTTGTAGATTAACTGGTATGATTAAAACATCTATTAAAAAAGATTCTGATCTTCCTCAAGCAACACCTCAAGTAAGAACAAAAGCAAAACTAAGTAAATGCAACAGTGAAACAAACTTAACTCCAGCACTTGATATAGAAAAAAATAAAAATATCAGAGTTTCTGAAGTACCTTCAAATCCTAAAGAAGAATTAAATATTGAAAAATTAGATGAAGGAACAGAACAAGAAAAAGAAAAGGAATTAGAACATTGTGAATCACCAATTAGTGATGGAACAACACCAAAAATTAAAAAAGACCAAAAAGAAAAGAAGGGAAGAAAAGGAAGTGTTGAGGGAAATATTAATACACTAATTGCTAAAGGTTGGTCTAAAATGAAGTTTGAAAGAAAAACTACTACAAATTCTTCTTCTACCACAACTGAATCAAAAGAAGATAAAAAGAAAGATGAAACTAAAGAAAAAGACACAAAACCTCCAAGAAGTCCAAGAGGACCTTTATTATCATCTGGTTTTAAAAAACTTTCTCAAGAAAAGGAACATAAACGAAATGAACCTACAGAATTAACAGATGAACAAATACTTACACAACATATCACTGAAATGCAAATTAATCTTATTGAAGACTTAAAAAAAGAGTTGGTTAAATTAAATGATGAATTAAATAAAGTTAAAGCAGAACGTGATTATCTTAAAAAAAAATATGAACCAGAAAGTTTTATTGAATCTAATAAATATGGAATTACTACTGACAATCAAATTTCATTTACTCAAAACCAATTTATTGAAGAAAAACATGAAGAAATTCATACACAATCTTTTAATGACTATGAACACAATGAAAAAGATAATGAAATAAAAGATAGTAGTGAAAGTAGTATAGAAAGTAAAGAAGATAGTAAAGAAGAAAAGAATGAAAAATCTCCTTTATTAAAAGAAAATAATGTAATTCTTGAAAAAGATATTGAATCACATGAAATTGGAAAAAAAGAAGGAGAAGAATCAAAAGTAATATCTAGTTCAGGACCAGTACATCTTTTAGATGAAGATACTGAATTACCTAATAAAGAAGTTAAAACAGACAATAGTGAATAGAAATAATTGAGTAAAGTAAAACATAGTATATTAACTTCATCAAGAATTTATATTTGATCAATCTATATCAATTTTTGTTTGATGGTTTGGTTTTAAAGAAAGAAAAAAAATGGAATAGAAATCTAAAATAGAAAAAGAACTTAAAAAAATAATAAATTTCTTTGATGGTAAAATACAAAAAACCTTTTTGGATGAATCATAATGGTAATCCAATATTTTGTATGGACTCTCATCCTAAAGAACCTTTAGTAGCAACTGGTGGTGGTGATGGTAAAATTAAAATTTGGAATGTTAGAAGTTTATATGAAGATAATGTGGAAGATGTTCCTAAATTACAAGCAGTCATTACATTGGCCCATAATGTTAATTGTCTAAGATGGTCAAAAGATGGAAAATTATTAGCATGTGGTTGTGATGATTCATCTGTTACGATTTATAAATTATCTAAAGTAATGGATGAAGGTGCATTTGTCAATGAAACATTAATATTCAGAGAATATGAGCTAGTGTTTATATTACGTGGACATAATGATTCTGTTACAGACCTTTCATTTTCAAATGATGGAAAACAACTTGCTACAGCATCTTTAGATTGTAAAGTTATTTTATGGGATATAATAACTGGAAAACAAATTGGAGTATTAGATCATTCATTACCTGTTTATGGAGTTGCTTTTGATCCATTAAATATTCTTCTATTTTCACAATGTTCTAATGCAGCAATTATATGGAATGTTGCTAAACAACAAGCAGAAAAGAAGATTACAGAACAATTTAAACTTGCGTCACATTCAAACTTTTTTTTAAGACCAAGTTGGTCACCAGAAGGTACGCAATTAGTTATGGTTGGAGCTATTTCACAAAAGAGATATGTTGCGTGTGTTACACATAGAGAAATGAATGATGTGATATCATTTCAAGGACATAAAAATGAAGTTGTTTGTTGTAGATTTTCACCATGTCTATATAAATCAGTAAATTTTGATGGAAAGAAACGAGCATTTAGTTGTTTTGTTATTGGGGGATTAGACAATTCATTAAGTGTTTGGGTTGCAAGAAAACAAAATCAAGTATGTCATTTCTTAAATGTGTTTAAGGGATGTATCCAAGATATTACTTGGTTACCTGGAGGGTTAAGAATGATGGCTTGTTCAGTTGATGGATTTGTTGCATTTTTTGAATTTAATGAAAATGAAATAGGAGGAGAAGTTCAAGGAGAAGAATATTTAAATAAAACTATTGAAAAGTATATGTTAAATCAACAATCAATTAGAGAACCATTGATTCCTAGTGGAACAAAAAAACAAACTACACAAACTACACTTAATTTTTCAGGTGGTAAACTTACAGTTGAAAGACCTGTAAAGAAAAGAGTTCAACCAGAACTTGTAACTGAACAACCACTAAAAGTTGAGTTAGATGAAAAAAATCAATTAGAAAAGAAGTTGTTAGAAAGAGAAAAATTAGAAGAAAAAGCAAAAGAATTAATTGAATCAGAACGAAGAAGTGAAACAAGGAAGTCATTAGTAGAAGAAAGTAAAATTGAACGAGAAAAAATGAAAGAAAGAATAAAGGAACGATGGAGTGAAGAAGAAATAAAATCAAGAAATGAGAGATTAAGTGAAAAAAGAAAACGAGAAAGAAAAGATGAGATATTTGAAGATAATGATATTAAAAAGAAAACGTGGCAATTAAAAGAATTAGAAATATGTGATAGTATTAAAAAAAGTATTATGATAAATAAAGTTATGTATGATATTATTGCAGAAAGAAATAATGGAGAAAAAATTATTACTACTATTACAGAAGAACGGCATCATGATAAAAAAATAATTTGGTCAACAATTATTCCATTTAAAGTACGAAGTATTATTGCAACTGAAACTCATGTTTTAATTGTAAGTGAACATGTATTATATTTATTAAATATAGATACTGGTATTATGGAAACTAATCCTATTGTTATTACATTCAATTTACATAAAGCATTTTTAGATGAAAAAGTAATATTAATTGATGTTATGGGAAATATACAAGTATTAGATAAAGAATTTAAAAAAATATATAACGGAAGTATTAAAGAGTTATTAACAACGTTTGATTGTACAGAAGTTACAAAAGCTATTGTTATAAAAGGTGTTATACAAATAGAAATTAATGGAATGTTTTTTGCAATAGATGGAGATAATTTTGTATTAACTTCTATGGGAAAAATAAAACCTAACTCATCATCTATTGAAGAAAAAACAATTTTAGAATTAAATATTAGAAGTCAACTTAAATATGGTCTACAAAATTCATTTGATGGATTAATCAATTCATTTTTATCTCTTTGTAATACATCAAAAGATACAATTAGAATCAAAGCATTGCATGATACATTGTTTGAATTAACAAAAACACTTCCAAATAATTCATCATTAAAAAATAAATTAATTGGATTAACTGAAAGAATTACAGAAATATTTATTTCAATGAAACCTTAAAACTAGTTTTTAATTCGAATTTTTTTTTCGTTCCATTCGTATTTTTATTTTAGAATTATTTCTTTTTAAAGATTTTTATCTTTTTAATTTAATATCATTTAGAGATGAATCCATTAATCTTCCTTCTTTTAATTTTTATTTCAAATGCACTTATTCCATTATCAACATGTTTTGAAGGAACATCTACTTATTATACTTCATACACAGAGAATGGTGCTTGTAGTTTTGGTTCAATATCAACAACTATAAATAAAGGATATATTTATGCAGGAGCTTTAAATGAAGCAATGTATAATGATGCTATTCAATGTGGAATTTGTTATGAAATTGTTGGACCTAAAGGAGTTATAAGAATAAGAGTCGTTGATATGTGTCCTGCTAATGATGAGAATCCTAAATGTAAAGGAGAGTCTATTGCTTTTGATATTGCAGAAAATGGATTTTCATTAATTGGAGAAAAAAGTAATGGAGGAGCAAATATTACATTTAGAATGGTTGCATGTGATATCGATGAGAATATTAAAATTGTTTCTTCTAAAGGAGTTTCTAATAGTTGGTATAATTTTGTTGTTAAAGACCATATCATTGGATTAAAAGAAGTTAAAATTACTCTTGATAACAATACTTTTTATGAATGCAAAAGATCTAAATCAAATACTTGGACATTTACATCTTCTAATTTATTAACTACTCCATTTACAATTGAAATGACATCAATTAATGATGATAAAGTTTATGCAATTATTAATGATTTTACATCTGAAAAAGAATATCAAGCTTTTAGTAATTTTAAAATACCTTCTGATACATTTTTTGATATAAAAAATTTACAAAAACATAATAAAAATGATGATTCTGAAGAATGTTGTTCAATGGTTGATGAATATTCTGTTATTTATGACGATAAATTTGAAGGAACTTGGATCGAAAATTCTAATTCATTAAATTCACTTGATTTAAAATATGACAATGATTGTTATGAAGGAAGTTATTGTGTAAAAACAAATATGAAACAGTATGGTGCATTCCATTTCTATGCACAATATCCAGCTTCACTTCAACAGTACTCATCTTTCAAATTCTTTATAAAAACAAAAAAAGAATGTAAAGAATGTATTACTGTATTATGTGGAGATAAAAAGAAAATTATTTCTATCACACAAGCAGATGACTGGGTAGAAGAAATAATTAATTTTGAAGAATTAGGTTATACTAGTGATACTATCTCATCTTTATCTATTCAAAACAACCAACAAGACACTACTTATTTCTTTGATTCACTTTCATTAATTAAAAATCAAAAGGCACCTTCAACTGCAAAATGTTTTGATGAAAACGTTGTACCAAATTCAACAGCATCAGTTTATATGCTTTTTGTTGCAATTATTTTAATAAATTTATTATGACTTGAAGATACTTAATTAAAGCTTATTTGGTTATTTTCAGAATCCCTCATTTAAGAATTTTTATTATAAAAATTATAAAAAAACTATTAAAAACTATATTTCTTTTATCATTTTTATAAGAGAAGAAAACTAAAATAAACATAAAAAATCTACTTAAGAAAACTTTAAAAATAAATAAGAACTTAGAAAAAGAAGGTTCTCCTTGCTGTACCAATCATTTCAAAGAACTTAAAAAAACTGAGAAATGTTTGTAGAATATTCTTTGAAAAGGAAAAATAAGATTCAAAAAAATAAAAAAAGTCAATATCTTAAGGAAAAAAATTAGGTTTAATGGGTAAAAAAAGAAAATAATAGTAAGATTTATTAAAAAGAATAGTAATAACAAAATCAGAAAAAAAGGGATAAAATGAAACCAGAAGAACTTCAAAAATGTAGAAGTGAAAGTACAATGGGAGAATTTCAAAGTACACCAACAACTGAACAACACTCTGGGATTAAAAAAATCCCAAATGCTATAGTTGGGTATAGCTCAATGCAAGGGTAGTTTTTTTCTTTATTATGTCTTATCTTCTTATCTCTTTTATACATCATTATTTTGATGCTTTTAAATGTACTTTAGACATTTCAGTTTAACTATCTTCTTTGAGTTTACAAAAACTGTCTTATGTAATAAAACAAAGCATCTCATATTTTTAGATGGAGAAAAACTATGGAAGACGCTCATCTTATTACAGACTTATTAGAAGATAAAGGATTGATTGGAATTTATGATGGTCATGGAGGAATACAAGCATCTCAGTACTGTGCCAATGAAATGAAGAAAACACTATTGAATTCTCCTCACTTCCCCTCGTCTATTCAAGAATCTTTAACTGAAACATACCTTTCTTTGGACGCAAAGTTAAAGACCCCAGAAGGGTCAAAGATGCTTGCTGATATTTGTAAAACTGAAAATTACGACAACCAAATGTTGGTTAATGGAAGTTGTGAGGTTGCTAAAGATATTGGATCTACTGCATTAACTCTTGTCATTAATGAAAATGAAATAGTTATTGCTAATGTTGGAGACTGTAGATGTCTTTTATTGAAGAATGACAATGAAATTCTTCAATTAACTACTGACCAAAGACCTAATGTTAAGTCTGAGGTTGATAGAATTGTTTCATGTGGAGGAGTTATTCGAAACGGTAGAGTTAATGGAAACCTTTCACTAACTAGGGCTATTGGAGATCTTCAATTTAAGAAAGGAAATGACGTTAATAAATATATTATTTCACCAATCCCAGAAATCACTACATACGAGTTAGAAGGAACTGAAGATTTCCTTGTTATGGCATGTGATGGTATTTGGGATGTTTTAAGCAATGAAGATGTAGTTACAATTATTAAAGAAGGTGTTGAAAATGGTTTAAAGTTGAATGAAATTTGTGAACAAATCTTAAAGAAGTGCCTTTCTGAAAATCCTTATGAAGCCCCAGGTTTTGATAATATGACTTTGATTGTTGCTGTGTTTGACAGAGCAGAAAATAAATGGAGAAGATGCTGTCCTGGTGGAGATGTTATATCATGACAGGCTTCAAGCTATTTTGTTATTAGATTATTTAATTTCTCTTTTTTGTATTTTTAGACCTTACATTATTGCTTACACCATCCATAACATTTATAATTATGTTATAATCAGTTTTTGTTTATTTCAATAGTAACTAGTGTTTATCGTATAATTATTGGTAAAAGGTATTTTAGTTGTTTATAATAATTTATTTGTGTTTGTCATCTAAATAAAATCTTCTTTGTTTCTAGATTCTGGTTAGTTAACTGGGAAATAGTTTATTATTATTAATAAGACTAAAAGGGCAAGTGTCAGTAAATTCAACTGTTATTTAAAAACAAGACAATGGCTTAGTTAGAATAGGTTAAATGTATTAGCCTCTAGAAAATAAGATTTGTAGTGTTATTGCTTATGAGGAGTGAGTTGATTGAGCTAGTAAATAAATAGGATTTGATTAAAGGCAATTTGATAAGATTGGACCTTCTCATTTATTAATGTATCCTAACTTCAATATAAGAAAATGAGTAAAATAAGAAGAGATAAACCATACTTAATAATTCAATTTAAATGAAAGTAATTGTTACTTTGAACTGAAAACAAAAAATAATTTTTTAAAAGTCAAATAAAGATGAAAAGGATATTACTAAAACAATTTGTATCACTGTTCCTATGAATGAAATTAATGATACAGATAAGAGTATCACATAAGTTGCTGCACGTTCTTCTGCACGTTTAATCATTGAAATAAAACTTATTGATGTAATATATCCTTGTGTTATTCCAATAATTGCAGAACTAAGACTCATTAAAACAAATAACAGCAAATGAACTTTATTCACAATAAGAGAGGTAGACTGACCACCGTACTGTTTAACTATGATCATTCCTCCTTGGGATATTAAAGATGTTAATGTAGTAATTACAAATAACCTAAAAACACTTGCTGCCAACAAAGTTTTTTTTGATATATGTGATGGAAGAAAAATAAATAAACTTCCAATAACACATGAACCAGTGTAAATAATTGAGATGTTTTTCATCAAAAAAGTATAGTTATCATTGTTTTTATCTAATTGATTTGAGGCACTGATATGGTAATAAATAAACATTCCTGGATATAAAATATTTGAAGTTAGATACACCATTAACAATGATGCTACTTGGTGTTTTAAGTTAACAACAACTTCTTTCATTTCATCAAATGAAGAAGTTAGTAAAATTTTCATTTTATGCCACTGTGTAAGTACAAAACCATTTTTGACAACAAGGCTAGTTGGTTCAATTTTAATAACCTTTCTAAAAGGTTTAATGTAATAATAACAAAATACCATCAAACATAATGACCCAATTTCAGTAAATATTAACACTAACATCATAGAAACATAGTCCATATTACTCTTCCATCCTCCAACAAAATATCCAAAATAATCTAAAAAGGATGATAACATTGGTCCAGCGTTCGTTCCTATTATGTATAGAATTAAATGAAAATGTGATAGTAATGATGATATATGTAAAAATGATGCAAAATTGAAAGCAGAAAAAATTCCGTGAGCAAGTGCACAAATTGTTAGTATCGATATTTCTATTGGTGTAGAATAAGAAGCGTGTGCTTCATAAATCAATGGTAAAGATGGAGTAATGCCAATAGCAATAATGATTTGTCCAATAAGAGAAATAACTGCTAAAAGAAATAATGGATATTTTTGAAAAGCACTAGTAAATATTATTAATGAAATAACAGTGATAATATTTGAAAATGCTATTGTTAAAGGTAACGAATATATGAATGAAATATCTCCCATTAGTGTTCCCATATCATTTGTTGTTGAATATAATACTTCGCTGAGATAATTGAATGATATTCCAACTAAAAAACACATGACCTCTGTAATGATGTTTTGAACTAATGTAAGATGGCTACTCCCTTGAAACAAACCTATTTCTTTATTGTTAGATGTAGACTCCTCCATTAACCAATTAGATTATAACTTTTTAGTTCTTCTTTTTCTTCTTCTTTATTTTTGTCATATAAAACATATTTTATGTATTAAGATTTACTAATTGTTATGAATTGTTATTGGTATTAAATCAATTTTATGTTTAGACAATGCAAAGAGCAGATAAGTTTAAGACAATTCATGAGAAAAGAAACTACCGTTGTTTAATTTATGAATTTTGTTTTTATGTTTTTGATTTTCTTTGTTATTCTATTAGTGTTATAGAAATAATTTTACACTTAAGTTTTTTATCAGATTTCTTAATCATTTGTTTGAGCTTTAGTTAATTTTGCATTAATCAGTTTTTATCCCATTATTTTTATCTTTCTGCAACAGGTGCATTATTGCCAATAAGACCTTTATTAATGTTAACAACAAAAAAAAGAATCAGTACCATTGAGAGATTATTATCAGATTAAAGAAAAGAGTAAATGAATAATTATTTTTTTTTTTGGATTAATAATCTATTAATCATTCTAAATATCTTCAAATGAAAATGTCTTATATTTTTGATATAATTTGAATATTTTTATAGTTCAAATGATGATATAATTTTTGTTTATCATGGGTTGAATTGATTTATTTGCAGATGATTTAATGGATAAGCGTTATACTGATACAACTGAGTTAGGTAAAAAAAAAAGAGGAAAAAAATTTAATTATTTCATACCAAGAAGGATTGGTTTTGTAGTGTCATCTTGGTTATCAGGACCGATGATAACCTCATTGAAAGTGTTTGCAAAAGTAGGAACAAATCCATAAAACATAGCAAAGAAATATCCATTAATACCAAAAATAATAATTTCAGATGTAAATGCTAATGAAGTTAATATTAATTATAAGAAGAAATCAATGAAATACAATAAAATAACAAACTTGTATTGAAAAAGGAAGAATAGTCACTCATTAATAACATAAAAAATTCAAGACCAATAACAAGAATTGATCCTAAACAGAAATAAAGACTCTTTCTTATATTTTCTTGTCTTTTAATTGTTTTATAGGACATAAAGAAGATAAAAACAACCCACACAAAAATCACAGTTGCACTAATCACTGAAATAATATAAAAAAGTAATGCAATTGTTGTTGTTGGTTTCATTACAGCAAATGGATTATCTGTCATTCCCTTTAAATAAATTGATGCTGAAAATGAGAAAGAAAACATCATAATTAAAGTAGTAAGAACAATAACAATCCATTCAACTTTTTTATTTAATAAAATTCCTTCTTCCTTATAAATGTTAATTTTTTTCTTCTTTTATTATCAAATTATCATAAAAGTAAAATAACAAACAATTCTTAATGATTGGAAGAAAGCTATTACGAAAAAGACTAAATACCCAAGAAATAAAATATTCATTATTCCATGAAATATTGGGAAAAATGCTGATGAAATAGCAAGTGATAATAAGTCAAGAGGATCATTATAAACAAGTCCAAAAATCATTAATCCTATGTTTAAATATTGTTGTTTATCTAAATCTCTTGGATAAATTCTTTTAATAATTAAATAAATAAAATAATAAATAATATATCCTGAACATATTGTTGTTAAAATGATATTATAAACAATTCTCATAATTGAATATGATTTATTTCCATATACTTGGGTTAAACAAATATTAGAAAATGTATTTTTTGGACCATTAATAGTTACTTCAATTTTTTGTTCATTTTTCATAATATATGGTTCATTAATCCATTGAACTATTCCACATTCTCCATTTCCTCCATTATAACATTTAATACTTGTATTAAAATCTCCTCCTTCCCAAAAGTTCCATATTCCTTTTTCATTATAACTTAATATAATATTTGTATTAATCTCAAGATATAAAAATGATGGATGATTATTATCAATATAGTTTTTATGAAGATATGGAGTAAAATATAATTTAGTATATCTATTCATAGAATCAAGTCGTTCAAAGTTAAAATAAAATGTCTCTCCTAAATTTGGATCAATTCCTTGACATTTATTAATATCATATTCATTCATTGAATTATCATTACATTTATATGCACATTCTGTTTTAATTGTATATCCTTTTGGACCTATATTCATTAAATTAATTTTTTTCTAGTTAAATAAAATATATTTCTATTAAACAAACCAAATAATTGAAGAATACTTCCAATTAAAATAGCCCCAATAATAACTGAAGGAATAATAATCATATCATAAACTTTAAAATTATCAATTCTCAATTGGATTTTCATTAAAGCACTAAATTAATTAAATTCTTAGTTTTTCACTTTCTTCTTTTTTCTTTTCATACTTTTATATTTCTTTTTCATTATCTTTTTATGTTTTTATATTTTCATAACCTTTCCTTCTTTAAATCATTTATAGTTATTTAATTCTCTTTATTCATCTCAATAAGTTTCTTAATTCAATAATTTATTCTTTTGATGTCTTTGATAGTTTTAATATTTTAACAAAAATCTCTTCTAAACAAACTACTCTACAGAAATCAACTGTAAAATAATAACATATTTTTAAACCCTTTTTTTTTGTTTTTAAATAGATTTGATATTGAAACACAAAAATTTAACAAAAGAAGAACTACAAAGCCATTATAATATGTCTGATAAACGATACACTGTTTTTCCTACTCGTATGCAATTAACAACTTATAAAGGAAAATTAGTTGGTGCACAAAGAGGTCATGACTTATTAAAAAGAAAAACAGATGCATTAAATCAAAAATTTAAGTCAATTCTCAAGAAAATTATTGAAGTTTGTTAATTATAAGTTATTTAAATGATTTAATAGTAGAAAGTCAATTATTTATTAAATAGGAAAAAATGTCAATGAAAGATTATATGAAAGCATCATCATTTTCACTTGTATCAGCTAAATATACTGCAGGAGAATTTTCTCATGTAGTAGTACAAAATGTTAAGAATTCAACATATAAAGTTAAATTAACACAAGAAAATATTGCTGGTGTTAAACTTCCTGTCTTTTCACAATCTCATCAAGAAATTAGATTACAAGATTTGACAGGTTTATCAAAAGGAGGACAATCAGTTGCTAATGCCCGTCAACAATATCTTAAAGCACTTGATTCATTAGTTAAATTAGCAAGTCTTCAAACTGCTTTCTTAACATTAGATACTGTTATTAAAATTACTAATAGAAGAGTTAATGCATTAGAACATGTTGTTATTCCAATGACTCAAGCTACAATAAAATATATTGAAACTGAATTAGATGAAAGTGAAAGAGAGGAATTCTTTAGATTAAAACTTATTCAAAATAAAAAGAAGAAAGCCATTGCTATTAAAGAAGCTAATAAAGAAAAAGAACAAAAAGAACTTAAAGCACAAGGTAAATTAAATAATTCTAAACAAGAAAAACCAATAGATCTTATTGGAGAAGAAGATGAAGATATTATTTTTTAATTGAAGGTTAAAAAAATATAAATTAAAAAAAGAAATGAAATCAATAAAAATTCATTTAATTTAATATTTAATTTAATATTATTAAATAAATTAAAAGATAATTAATATGAATAAATCAAATTAAATTAAAATAATGTTTCTTTAATTAATTAACTTTTTATTATTTAATTTTATTATTCGTTATGAATGGATTTTATTCTTTCTTGTCTTTTATATCCTGCAGAGACAATTATTTTTCTTCCATCAATTTCAAAATTATTAAATTCAATAATAGCAGCATTTTGTTGTTCTTTATTACTAACTTCAACAAATCCAAATCCTTTACTAAATATACGACTTCCTTTTTTATAAGAAACAACAATAGCCTCTTTTGGTTCATATTTTGCAAATAATTCTTTTAATTTTTTATCATTAATTGAATATGATAAATTTCTAATAAAAAGAAGTGTTTCTGATAATTCATTATTTTCTTCAGTTTTATTATCATTTGTATCATGTTGATAATCCTTTTCTTTTCTATTAAAATATCTTCTACTAATACCTCTTCTTGAATACTTAAATCTTCTTTCATAATGTCTATGATTTTCTTTATGTTCTTTTAGTGGTTGAGCAATTTGGATATGAAGCTTTCTTCCCATAAACTCAAGGTCATTAGCTGCAAGAGCTTTTTTTGTTTCTTCTTCTGTTTCATATTCAACAAAACCAAATCCTTTAGAATGTCCTCTTTGAGTCATTAAAATACAAGATTTAATCTTACCAAAAACTGCAAAGTATTTTTCCATTTCTTCTTGTTTTGTTTGAAATGAAAGGTTTGATACATAAATCTTAGTCATTGCTTTGAAGTAAAGATCTCAATAATATAATTTTATTTTATAGATAACACAAATAATTTTATATTTTTAATGTTTTTAATTTTTAGTTCCATTTATGTTTTATAAAACTAAAAAAGGAAAATGGATGAAGAAAAGAATAAAGTACAACAACTTCTTGAAGAAGTGAAGTTATTAAATGAAAGAATTAATATTCTTCAATTAAAAATAGAATTTCCAAATGTACTTGATGCTATGGTATATTTAATATCAAATAATAATGAAAAACTTCAACAAATATATAAAATTTCACAAGAAGATATTAAATTAACTAAAGAATATATTGAGGATGCACTAACATATACTGAACTTTATAGAGAAAATATTAGCCCATTAATTATTGCATGTATAGCTCGTTTAAGAGAAGAAGAAATGATTTGTTTAGAAGAAATCATTATTTTAATAAATTCAAAGAAGATAGAAGAAGAAAAAGGAAAAGAAATTATTAAACTAATAGGAGAAAATAAAAAGAAATTAGTAGAATTTAAAATGGAAATAAATAATAAAGAAGAAAGAAAAGAAGAACAAATAATACGAACATTTGGAATTGAAAATGATATAGAACGACCTATTTCAGCACAGAGTATTGAATTTAAACGACTTGAAGAAAGACTTCAATTTGAAAATATTTCAACATTATCTCATTATGTTACAAGACAAAATCCAAGAGTAGTTTATTTTGAAAAACAATTAAATGTAACTCAACTTATTAACTCAATAAATGGAAAAGAAAATATTATGTTAATTTGTAGAACAACTAATAGTAATATTTTCTTCGGTATTTATTGTCAAAAGAAAATAATTAAAAATTCTTTTGGAATAGATGATCCTTCATTCTTTATGTTTGTTACTAATAAAAAAGATTTATATTGTTTTATTAAAAAATCAGTTATTGGTTCTACTTTTATGATATCAGATAAAAAAGAAAATAAAATCATTGAAGTAGATAAATGTTTCTCAGTAGCATTCCAAATAACTAATGCTTTTATGAATACTAAAGTACTTAAATGTTCATTTTCTAAAGAATTAAATAAATATTATATAGAAAAAGATAATAAAGAATTACCATTTAAAATAGGAAATTCTATTAATTATGAAGTACTTTCAGTTTATGCTCTTCAATGGAATTAAAGAAAGAATAGACAAATTTAAAAAAAAAAAAATCATTTCATTTCTTAAATATTTCTTTTCACATTTTATTTTATTTCATTTTTTTGTTTTAAAAATTTTAAAAGAATTAAATAAAAAAAAAAAAGAACTTTAATTGTTATTATATTGTTATATGAGAAGAAATACATTAAAAAACTATGGATTTATTAAACCAAAAAGTAGATTTAATTTACTTCTTCTCGAACCTGGAGAACAATACTTAAATGACTGTGCATGTACGTATATTGATAATAATAGACAACGAGAAATAATAGGAACATTAAAAATATGTTCATTTTCAGTATTTTTTGCATCAAATGAACAATCATTTCCAATAAGAAGAATTAAATATAAAGATATAAGTAATATTGATAGAATGAATAATAAAGATATAATTATTATTAGGTCAAATAAATATACAGATATGAAAGAAGATAATATATTAAAACCATATACATTAAATGAAGAAGAAAAAGAACATAAAATAGAATTAAAATATGTAAATTTTGAAGAAATATATCAATTAATAAATAGAATGTATAAATTAATTTTAAATGGAGATAAAGAAGATATATATGAATATAGTAAAGAATATATTCATTCAAGACTTAATACATTACAACCAAATATGAGTATGTTTAAAAGAGTTGATGAAAAAATATTAGAAAATTGTTTTGCAACACAAATATTACCATTAATGGAAATAGCAGGAAGATTCATATTAACACAATATTCATTTTATTTTATTCCATATGTTGAAGAATCTATTGTAACTAAAAGTGGAGTATTAAGTGAAGTAGTTTATTTATTTAGAAGAAGATATATTATGCAACATAATGGATTAGAATTTTTCTTTCAAAAATCATCAACGTTTATTGTTTTTGAAACAAAAGAAGAACGTAATAAAATAGAAGAAATAATTTATAAATCTACAAAAATTAAAATTAAAAGTGATGATGGTTCTCAATTTAATGAAATTATAAACAAATGGAAAAAAAGAGAAATAACAAATTATGAATATTTAATTTATCTAAATTTTATTGCTGGAAGAAGTTATAATGATCTTACACAATATCCAATATTTCCTTGGGTATTATCAAATTATTCTTCTTCTTCTATTGATCTTAATGATTCATTAAATTATAGAGATCTTTCTAAACCAATTGGTGCATTAAATCAAGAAAGATTAGAAAAATTAAGAGAAAGAATGTTAGAAATGACACCTCCTTTATTCCTTTATGGAACACATTATTCAACACCTGCATATGTTGTTTTCTTTTTAGTTCGTTTAGTACCTGAATTTATGTTACATCTTCAAAGTGGAGTATTTGATAAACCTGATAGAATATTTAGTAGTATTGATGAATGTTGGAAAGGTGTATTAAGTCATACAAGTGATGTAAAAGAATTAGTTCCTGAATTTTATTCAAATATTAATTTTTTAAATAATAAAGAACATGTTTATTTTGGGTTTAGAACTACTCAAGATCTTATTGATGATGTTAAATTACCTAATTGGGCTTCTTCTCCTCAACATTTCTCTCAAATAATGAAAGATGCTCTTGAAAGTGATTATGTTTCTGAAAATTTAAATAAATGGATAGATTTAATTTTTGGTTATCTCCAACGTCCACCTGCTGCATTTGATGCTGATAATGTTTTTTATCCTGCAACTTATGAAAATGATTTTACTGATCCAACTACTAGTGGCTTTAAAGATCAAATTCGTGAATTCGGTCAAACCCCTGCTCAACTCTTTCAAATACCTTCTCCTGAAAGAAATTCTTCTCTTCAAATTAATTACCCTCTTCCTCCTATTCAAGCCATTGATCTTAATGATTCATTTGATTCGACTCCTTTAAGTATTATTGATTTTAAATGTTCTACTACTCCGAAAACTCGTCAAGTCATAGAAATCAAAGGATTAGATAAACCTCTTATCCTCGAATCAGTTAACATTGACTTGGATGAACCAAAACAATTCTCTCAACCATCTACTTCTACTAAATATCAACAATCTGAACAACATAAAACTACTTCAGGATTTTTCTCTTTTAAAGGATTCTTTAGTGGAAAGAAATAATTAAATCTTTGTTACTTTTCATTATTGTTTTCTAATTTTTATTAAAATCTATTTATTTTTTATTTTAATCTTCTTGTTTTATTTATTCTCTAATCTTATTTCTTTTCTTTTTATTACTTATTAAAATATCACAATGAATATGAATATTTCAAGTAAAATAAAACAAGAATGAAATATGAACATTTTTATATTCATCATTTCATTCATTGGCAGATGAATGAAATGTTTATATTCATTTATTGATTTTATTTTATATTCTTTTTTAGTTTTCAAATAAATAATAATGAATAAAAATCATTTCATTTCAATTACAATGATTCGTTTTGGTGTGAAATATTCTGGAAGTTGTTTTCTGCAAAGTGCATTTTATATTCCTTTATATGAAAATGAATGTTGTTTACAATATGATTCTGTTTTATTATGTTCTTTATAAACATAAATATCACTCTATCACCAAATACAAACAAATAATCATGTGGTTGACTATCAAAAAAATGCATACTACTGATCCTTTAACATCAAATTTATTCATTCATTTGATTCTATCATTTGATTCTAATGAAAATAAAAATGAATTTGGATCATTTATATAATGACTAATTTCGTCAATTTTTGCATTAATATATCCTCCAAATTTATTTCCATTTGTGTCTTCAATAATAATTATTATATGTGCTTTATTTATTATTCTTTCTTCAAATACTGATGTATTAACTTTACAATTGTCATTGTTTGAATCAAATAGTATATTGGATACTTTTCTATTTGCCCATTCTTCTAGTTGTTGAATTATTTTATCATTTAACGTTTTATGTTGATAGTATTATTCTCATTATTTGTATTGTTTGTTGTTTTTAATGTGTTTTATCTTATTTTAAAGTTCAATAATGATTATTGTACTTAATTTATAATTATAGTCTTATTTTAATTAATGGTTTATTTAATACTAAATAGATTAACATCCATTTTCAAATAATATCTAAAACTTATGAAAAACTTTTATATAAAATAATGAAATAATGTAAATATGAAATAAAATAGTTTTATCTTTTGTTGTTTCATTTCTTTATTTATTATTCTTATTCATTGTTAATTTCATTATTGAATATTATAATTATCATTTCTCATTTAAATTATTACAAAATAATAAAAGTTGAATTAGTATATAAACACGTTAATAAATATTAAAACAAAATATCAAATGATTAAAACTATCATTTATTTATGATTTATTCATTATCTTATTCATCTTATTTTTTCATTTATTATTTCATTATAAATTAATATATAATTATAGAAGTATTTCAAAACAATTGTACTGATTTGATAGAACAAAATAAACTAACAACACAATCAAAGATATTAACAATGCATATTTTAATTTCATTTTTTATCAAATCGTAAAATAAAAAAGATGAAAGAAATTTTTAATTATTAAAATAGAATAAACTATTATATTTATTTCCTCTTTTTCATCATTTATTTTTTTTTATAAAATGAAATAACATAACAATTTCCACCAATAAAAATCAATTAAATATTAAAAACCGTCATTTCTAAAATTGGGGGTAACACCATTCTTCATTATAAAAGATCTTCATATCTCAGTTGTGAACCATTGACAATGGCAACATCCTCAGAATTTAGTGATAGTTTCTGCGATAAAAAACCAGAAAGAGAGCCAGAACAAACTGATGAAAAACCAATAGATATATCTGTTATACCTGATGCTCATAGTGAAGAAAGTCCTAAAAGCGTAGATGAAATTCAAGCTAAAATAAGTGAGGTTCAAAAGATTATCAATGAAAAACTTAAAAAACTTCAAGCACTTTGCCGTCCACCAGAAGATCAAAAACTTTGCCATCCGCCAGAAGATATTTCTCAAAGTGACACCTCACAAATAAAAAAAGAGTATTTACAAAATGTTAAATTGTTAAATGAATTCTTTATTAAATATAATAAAAAGACTAATGGAATGACAGATGGAACTGAAAAAAGAAAAGACGTTATTGTTGTTGCTGATCCAAATGAAAGATTTGTTGATATATTTCATGGTAAACCAGTGAAGTTATTCTTAGATACTCTTAGTAGTTATAAAATTATATTTCCACGTATCCAATATTGTAAAATACTAAATTCATCAACAAATACATACAAACAACTTTTTGGACAGAAAGATTTTGGTGTATTTTGTGTTACTAAGTATGGAAATGTTTTTGGTATATTCTTTCATTCTGTTAAAATACTTAGAAACCAAACCTTTGTTTGTAATAAATCTGCTTTATTCATTATAAGAAGAAATGGAATGAAAGAATATGAACCAATTGTAAGTAAAAGAGAAAGTGATATTTATTTTGTACTTGGGAATGATAATACTGAAGATGATTTATTGATAACAATTACTAATAATATTGGATATGGAATACAATTTTATAATAACACAGTTAGTATTATTGGTGATATTCAAAATGTATTTAATGAAATAGAATATAATGGTATGTTATTAAATATAAATGATAACAACGAATATCTAGAAGAATTAAATGAATTAAAGATTATGAAAATTCATTCAGATGATGATGGAAAACAATCTTTAATTGAATGATTTAAAATAACAACAAATGGTTATTATTTTTAATTTACTAAAAATGTTTTAAATGATTAAAACAATAATAATATTCACATAAAAATATCATTATTTGTATTAATTTAAACTATATCATTTATTCATTATATTATTTATATACTTTCATTATCATTATATTTATTTATTCATTATTTATATTACTATATCATTTTCTATCAACTTCTTTTTATTTCTTTTCTTTGAATTTCATGTTGATTGTTTTTAACACTATATATAATTATTATCAATTTATATTAATTATATTGTATTTGTTATACGAATAATTCATTCAAATGATTATATTCAAATGAATGAATTCAATATTTATTTCATTTAATTATTAAATTACAAAACATATTTTAAAGATTATTAATAACATTCAATTTTGATGATTAAACAATAAAATAAAAGAAGATCAATTGAAACATTAAATCATTTATAATAATACACAATCAAATGAATAAAATAACAATATATTATGAAGAATTAACAAATTTGATTATTCATTACTCTAAATTAATTATAATAACACATCATTATAATAATCAAATTTAAGTAAAACAAACAATAAAACAATATATTACACTATTCAACATTCACAAATTTAAACAAACAATAAATATGAATGATAAATGAAACAAACCAGTTGTGAAAATAGATAATAATCAAGAAGAGTATTAAATTAATAAGAAATGATGATATTTGAAATTGATCTATGAAACAAAAAGAAATAAAACAACAAAAGATTAACAATGAAAATAGAATATCCAATATTTAAAAATAAACAATTATTAAATAAAAATGATAAATTGAATATTTATTTGAATACTAAGTCAATTAAATTTGAATTATTTGTATCAAATAACATAGAATAAACAATTTTAAGATAATGTGAATGTATTTTTCTTTATGAATGAATAATATTCTTATTCTCAAACAAAATAATAAAACATTAATAATTATAGTATTTAAATGTTCAAATTTGTTTGAAATGTGTATAATATATTTCAACAGAAAATTAAAAATTGTTAATAAACAATTAAATAAACAATTAAATAACTATAAATCATATTGAATAAAACAATATAACATTGATTTATTATTGTTTAATAATACAATATTTAATATCAACAATTAATAAATTATATTGTTAATTTAACAA